ATGGAGAGGCTCAGGGGCATGGGGGGCAGGGGGGGCGGAGGGGGGGGCGCTTTTTGGGAGATTCCTTCTGTATAAATCTCATTCAAACATGTCATTTGGAGAAAGAACTTCTGAATTTGTAATTTGGGGAGTTTATATGTATTAGGATTTTTTTGACTTAGTAATAAGAAAGGAGAGTACAAAATAAAGGCTTCTTTCTTCAGGGTCCAGGGAAAGGCAGAATCATTGGTGCCGGAACGTTTTTAAGAGTCTGTCACTCATGAGCGTGGTCCAGAGCTCAGTGCACGTTGATAAGAAATAGGGGCTACATCCCTTGCCTCAGGCAGTTTCTAGTCTTCTGAGGGTCAGAACCCAGTTGAATGCAGTAGTGGAAGAGCGAGTTAGAGAAGATCAAATTAATGAACACAAATACAGTGCAAACTCAGTAACATGCAATAGAAACAAAATATACTGATATGAAGAGGTAGCACATCCCAGTGAGCTGAGTTAGGGACACTTGGGGGAAGTGATTTCTTATTTTGAAGAAAACAATGTGTTAGCAATGCCTAAAAGACATTCTCAGAAGGAAAATTTTAAAGGCATTCTCAGTGAAGCAGACACATCCAGTTCTTGCCCGATTCTGTGTTTTCATCTTCATAGAAGTTTTCCTCTCAGCCCCTTGTCTCCTCTCGTCCCCTTGTCTCCAGTCAGTTTGCTCCTAAGGCCCGAGCTTCCCTTTCCTGTCTTAAGCCAAGAGTGCCAGGTGTTTCGGCCCATCTGACAACTTTTCTTCCCCTCAGATCCAAGGCTGGTGATATTAAATGTCACCAGCACCTCTTGACAGATGTCCACCTTCTTCATACCAGTCACACCCCAGTGATTTCCCTGGGAAGAGGCACGGGCCTCCCTCTCTCCCCCAGGGCTGCCCGGACACAGTTGGGTGATTGTCCTCAGATGTCCCCCTGTGCCCTGGAGCGCAGGCTGCTCACGAGTTCCTTACCCGTGGACGAGAGCTCCAGCCTTCAGATGGCCAATGGCCACTGAGCAGCTGATTCTGACTCTCAGGAGCCTGATAAAAGTCCCACGGTTACATGATGAAAAAGAGTTTTGGAAATCTCAATTTAGGGGGGAAACAAACCTATCTGAATAGATATCTGTCAGAGCAGATGGCTCCAAAGGGATCCTAATAGCTTCATGGGGAGACCTGCATTTCCAAGGAGTCCCCTTTGCTGAGCCATGTGTCCTCGTAGGGGCCAAATCCCTGGAAGGAAGGAGCTGCTGCTTAGAGGCATGTGTCTACGGGTGGCCATCGCTGTTGGGGTGTCTTTCTCTAACTCACCCACCCAGAGGGACAGCTTTGTCTCACTTGCCCAGAGGCCTTCTTCTCTAGCTATGGCTCTGTTGCTTCCCTGCCGTGTAAAACTTGAAGACCCGTGTTAAGCATTACAATTTAGATAAAAATCTTTCCTCTTCTTCTTGCAGATCTGTGGCTGTGCTAACTGAGTGCATGAGGAACAAGACCCTGGCCAAGTTCTTCAGGGAACGTCAGGAAACTCTGAAACACTCACTGCCTCTGGGGTCCTATCTCTTGAAACCAGTTCAGCGGATTCTCAAGTATCACCTCCTTTTGCACGTAAGTTTCGGCCTGCACTCGAGTTCGTCCCAGAGGATGGGGATTTGTGTGTGTGTGTTAGATTTAGGGGGGAAAACATCAGAAAAGGCTGGGACATATGGAAACGTTTTCCACACTCATACTTTACAACTGACTAATCTGCTTTGAGGAATTAGAGATATTTATGTTCGAGGCCTGCCGGCCCATTGACAGCAGCTCAGTACAGATTCATTGCGGTTCTGATCTGCCGGGGCTCAGGAGCACCTCACGCTGGCAGTGACGGTTCCAGGCAGGGAGCGATCATCTTAATGAAAAACAGGTTTCTTGTGTTTTATTTTACTTCCTTGAGCCCAGATTCAGTAGGCAATGGGGAGGGAGAGCGATTGGTCTCAGATCGGCTTTTGTATGAGAAGGAGCAGGGGCTGAAAGGGGAGAAGACAGGTGAGCAGTGTGATGAACGATCTTTGGGCTGGGCTTCGCATCACTTCAGGGTATCTTTTCTTTACATCATTTCCCATGATTTGGACAAAATTCAAGGAAGCTTTAGAAACAAAGGTAGACGTAGCACTCATATTCTCACTTCTTATCTAAGGACGTTGATAGAAATGGACAAAAGTTGTGTTGAAAATAACTTTTGTGCTGTAGGTAGAATTGGATTGCCGGTGCAATAGGGGAAAGACAGTGTGCCCAGTGGTTAGGGGCTGGCTCGGGGGCGAGACTGCCTGGGTTCCCATCCTATACATCGCCCATGTGCACTGTGGCTCACAGGCAATCAGTAAAAATAAGTTATTATTGGTATTGTATTATTTTTGTCCTACATTAAAATTTTTTCTTAGGAAGATTTTAATTCAGAGTTCCTCTCCATATCAACATGTCTGCAATTTGTATGTATCTCTTTTTAAGTGATTCCAGGCTTGCTCAATTCACACACCTAACATTTTAAGAACCCTTATGTTCCTTCTTTACCAGGACTGCCTCAATTTAGTCTGTTTGCCTGGGTGGCTCATCTTTGAAGAATATCGTGTCCTGTGAAGCCACATCAGGGAAAGTACTTTAATTGTCAAATTGATGCTAACTTCTTAGATTAGTGGGATTTCAACATGTGAATTTGGGGGGAGACACAGACATTCAGTCCATAACAGCTGGTAATGAATAAAAAAGGGAAGAACAGTGGTTAGATTATTTGAAAACTAACTTCTGGTGGCCTTTGAAGTATTTTTGCTTTTATTGTTTATTTGAGAGTGTTCTTTCTGTGTCATTCACATCACTTCAAAGTTGTGTAGCCATCCGTGAAGATCCCACAAGAATACGCACTGTCCTCCGGAGACTGTTGTTGATGAACAGATTGCCTCTTGGACTAAAAGAAGAAATTTGTTTGTTGTTGTTTTTTTTAACTTCGCTGTTGATGTTGAGCTTACCTGGGAGTTGTTAGTTTGGAGATACAGTTTTAAAGGACCTTTCTGAGTCTGGAAGGGAAATGTAAAGCCCTTTCCAGTTTCTAACTAAATGGAAAACTTAAATACTCCGTAAAAGTAGAGATTTTATAAGTTATACCGTAAGATTCAACCTCCACCCGTTAGCTTAATGAATATGCATGACGAATGCCATGGAAATGATCTAATGGACTAGACCAGCCGTGGGCAAACTACGGCCCGCGGGCCGGATCCGGCCCGTTTGAAATGAATAAAACTAAAAAATAAAAAAAAATAAAAAAAAAGACCGTACCCTTTTATGTAATGATGTTTACTTTGAATTTATATTAGTTCACACAAACACTCCATCCATGCTTTTGTTCCGGCCCTCCGGTCCAGTTTAAGAACCCACTGTGGCCCTCGAGTCAAAAAGTTTGCCCACCCCTGAACTAGACTGTCTTCTTATGTTTTACATATTTATATAGGGTTACTGTTATTTTTGTTTTAAGAAGATACAGCTTAATTTAATGAGCCTTTATTGGCCACCCCGCTCTCTGGTAGGCCTTGTTGAGAAGATAAAGGACAAAAGGAACTATGCCGTCATTCCTGGCTTTACACGCTTAGGAATTCTAGGGGCATGTGTCTTATGTGCTGGGAAAAATTGGCGCAGAGATTGTGTCCTTTCCCATCTTCCTGGCATTGTGGACCCCAGTGCTAAGCTCAGTGCTGACCATCAGAGCATGTATTTGAACCAGGAGGTCCTCCTCAGCACTCTGAAGGATTGTCTTTGGTGAACTTCATTTGGGCTTTAAAGCCTTGACTACATGAAAGTGCACTTGCTATAGAAGTGGTGTGTTGTTGTTGTTTTTTAAAGATAATGTCCACTGTATTTTCGAATCCGTTACGTATTAAGTCCTGTTACTTTCTCTGGGAGAAAAGTAATTAGTATGTTTTCCATGTAAGAGTGAGAACTATATCACATTGGCCACCAGGAAGCTCTGAAATTTCCAACTATAATGTCAGCTCTCATATCTATTGTAATCACTAAAATATCTCTATGAGATTTGATGGCCTGTGTACATCTTTTGTTTTATCTTGTTTGTCATGACATTTTAATCCACTTCTGTTTTCCCAGCTCCATTTTCTTTCCTGTCTTACCATTTTGTTGTAGGTATTTCTGGTAAGTTATCTCAAAATCTTAAAGAATGATGTCACATGTGAATAAATAAGCAAAAATAAAATATGAGGAACTAATCATAGAGGTACCATTTGTATCCTTGACAAAATGGGAAACTTTGAAAAATAACGAATTTGAGGTTTGTTTGTCTTTAAGGAAATAGAAAATCACCTCGACAAGGACACAGAAGGCTACGACGTGGTGCTGGATGCGATAGACACGATGCAGCGCGTCGCCTGGCACATCAACGACATGAAGCGGAAACATGAGCACGCAGTCCGGTTACAGGTGAGCCCTCGAGAGGGAGGTGCTGCAGGTGCGCTGACTTCTCATCGTTTTCTCAATCAGATATTAAGGCTGCTCACGTATTGCCCGTCATTCATGGTCTTCATCGGAGTTCTTCCTGAAGAAAGATCGGGACACCGATAATGCTGATCATTGTGTATTTAGGAGAAAGTCCCTTGGGAACTTTCAGATTAATAGTCTGCTTATAGCCCCTTCCATGATCGAAGTGAAAAATTTGAGTCTCCTGAGGCCTTATCTTATGTTCATTACAAAGAAATAATTCTAGTTGAAAGCACCTTTCTCCAAGCTGTTAAAGGAGTTTGCAACTTCTATTCCTCTGTCACTAGTTCATGCAGAGCCCTGAGGTGGTGTGTGTGGTATTGGGACAGGGGACTCAGAGCAAGGAGAGCGAAGTCTGGAGCCAGGTCCTTTGTAATTTCATTTGGGATGAGACCCACGGCTTTACCTTAGATTCCTCATTTTTATAAATGAGACAGACGAGCGTTTGCTAAGGTTCCTTCCAGCACCAAAATGTTGAGCCCCGAACCCCTGAAAACTTTTAATAGGTGCTAAGCCAGTGGTCACATCCTGGATACCTCAAAAGATGTCCTATTTTTAAAAAGAAGGTCGTGTGGGCCCAGAGGGAGTCTCAGGCTCTGGGGTATCCCTGGATGAGGCATAAAAGCCCAGAGTGGCTCCATGTTCTCAGCACATCTGTGCCGGACTCCGGAAAATAAAATACATTATTTGGCCCGTAAGTCTGAACAGAATTCTAGGTTTCATCGATAGGCAGCCAGAGTGTGGTGTGTGCAACTGACTATCAAAAATCAAAGGAAGGCGAGAGCCTAAGCCTCCAGGCCCTGTCTGGCTTTTGTGGCAGTAAGAAAGGCTTAATGCTTCGTCATTCAGATGTTTTGTGGATGTAATGTCAGGCATAACATCTATTGCGTTTCCCAAAATGGTTAAATGACTGGTTCTTCGTGGCTTATGAATCTGTTTGGCATTCTGAAGACACTGCTGCTCAGTCTGTGGCTCAGTCTTACCTCCATTCCTCTCCATTTCCACTTTCACCCCAAAGATGTTTCGGGTTTCTTGTGTGCTGCCTAATTAGATGCTGTTTGTGGACATTTTCATCTTTCAAAGTAATAAAATCAACTTCATTAAAAAAGGTTGATAAGGATGTACAGTAAATCCCAAATAAACGTCAAAGTCATGTTGTCAGTTTATATTCAGCAAGTTCCATTCAAAACAAAGAGACGAAAAAATGTTCATTTTTTTTCCCCAAGTAAATGGGATGAATACCAGGAAGTTTCTGAGAAGATGGGTCTTGTACGATTTTCCATGGACTTTACTAGTAGCTTTGAGTTTCTGATATGTGGTAGGGTCTCCCGTTTCTGGGAGAGGATTTCCAAGTCAATAGCTCAGAAGAGTTTTGTCCAGAGAATAGAGGGTGAGAACATCAGGGAGGGATGCCTATCTGAGAAGGTCTCATACCAATGGCTCTTTATGTAGCTTCTGAAAGACATAACTGCTGCCGCCAGCCATAGAAGGGGGGTATCTAGAAATGGAAATAAGTAATTGGCAAGTCAGCAACAACTTGCTTCATTTCTGCGAACCCTTAAGTGACACCACCCATAAATGTAGACTCATGTCATGGATCATTACACACTGTTAGACGCAACATAGATATTTAGATGCCATTCTTGAGGCTCAAGAAATGGGTCACTGTGCCCTCGCTGCCTTGCCTGCCCACCTCCTGTTTAATCACGTGGGACATTGACCTTTTTGCAGGAGATACAGAGCTTGCTCACTAACTGGAAGGGGCCAGACCTAACCAGCTACGGGGAACTGGTGCTCGAAGGAACCTTCCGCATCCAGCGGGCCAAGAACGAAAGGACCCTCTTCCTCTTTGACAAGCTGCTTCTCATCACGAAGAAGAGAGACGACACGTTTACGTACAAAGCTCACATCCCGGTAGGTCTGCATGTGGGTCACGGGCGAGGACTTGAGTGGCTGGCCCGTTCTCTTCCACGCGTGCTCACCCGTCTCGCTCTCCCGCTCAGTGTGGCAACCTCATGCTCGTGGAAGTGATCCCCAAGGAGCCGCTCAGCTTCAGCGTCTTCCACTACAAGAACCCCAAGCTGCAGCACACCGTCCAGGTAACAGCAGCGCCCTCCCCTCCCTGCCAGGCCCGCCCTGCACCCTGGGCGCCCTGCGCCAGGCAGCCCTTCTCCGGCCTCTGGCCACGGGGTGTGTTTTGCATCTTGTCGGAGGGTGAGAGGAGGGTCTGAGTCTGGTCTGTGGTGGCGGCGGGAGTTGTGTGACTGCCCCAATCTCCCGTAGGCCAAGTCGCAGCAGGACAAACGGCTGTGGGTTCTGCACCTGAAGAGACTGATCCTGGAGAATCACGCGGCCAAGATCCCAGCGAAGGTGAGACAATGAGGCCAACAAACAGTAAGGTGTAAAG